TCCAAACTTTTGGCCTGTACTGTGTATATATATATATATATATATATATACATACAATTATACATACATACACATGTTTTCAGGACAGCTACAAATACTTTGGGGTCCCGCAGGAGAATGGGAACCATGAGGAGGCCGCAAGGAAGTCAGCCGCAGCCAAATACCTACACAGAGTAAGGAAAGAACAAGGTCCTAGCCATCAACAAGTACACCCTGCCAGTCATCAGATACCCAGCTGGTATAATAAGCTGGCCAAAAGGAGAGATAGAGGCCACTGATACTAAGACAAGGAAAATTTCACAATGCATGGAGGGTTTGATCCTAAGTCCAGCACCCTGAGACTGTACACAAAGCGTTGTGAGGGGGGCCGAGGGGGCCGAGGACTGGTGAGCATCAGAGCCATTGTCCAGGATGAAACAACCATAATCCAGGAATACACAACGAAGAGTGCCCCCAAAGATGAGCTGCAAAGTGAATACCTCAGGCAGCAGAAACCCAAGAATGCAGAAGAGGAGGATAAACCATCATGGGAGGACAAGCCCCTGCATGGCATGTACCACCGACAGATTGAAGAAGTGGCCGACATCAACAAATCCTACCAGTGGCTGGAAAAGGCTGGACTGAAAGAATGAATAAATGAATAATCTTTATTTTGGTTAGATACATCTGGAAAAACGAAGATTATTTCACACAAATTTTCTCATAGTCCGTAACCGAAAGAGGAATAATCTGAAGCCCCAGACTTATTTTTGCCTATCGTATATAAACCAAAGGAAAACCCAGGATATCAACAATACCAAAGAAAGAAAATACATAAATTAATAATTCAATACATTATCCTCTAAATTATAATCCTCAATTTGTTTACATCTCAATCATTTTACATTATAATCCATAATCATTTTACATTTTAAGGCTTTTTTTTAAAGCAACAGAGAGCTACACAGTTTCAAATCAGCACTGAGTTCATTCCATAACTTGACTCCCAAAACTGAAACAAGTCTGTATTTTACATTAGTTCTCACTTTACATGTTTCATAAATAAATAACCCTCTTTTTTTTTTTTTCAACAATATTTTTATTGAAAATTACAAATGCATTTCAAACTCAACATTATAGGCACGAACATTTTCACCCATATCCCCTCGAGCAGACAAAAAAAAAAAAAAAAAAAAAAAAAAAAAATTAACATAAAATAAAAGGCAGGATCATTTCATAACCTATTATTCAGACAATGTTATCTGTATCATTGGTCAGGAATGACATAAATGATTCCCAAATACAAGCAAACTCCTCCTGTTTACCTTTAACAATGTATGTCAATCTCTCCAGTCCAAGACAAGTTATCAACTCCTTTTTCCATATTGCCAGCGAAGGTGGTTCTACATTTTTCCAATATAGTGCAATCACTCTCCTTGCATGGAGAAGTCCAAAGTCAATCATTTTCGATTGCTTCTTTGTTCTGATGAAGTCCTTGGGGTATATTCCAAGTATACAGATTGTTAACATCAAAGGAATGTTACACTTAACCATTCGTGATAAACATTTAACTACATTTTCCCAAAATACCAATATTTTAGAGCATTCCCATAAGCAGTTAATCAGAGTACCCTTTTCAGTCAGACACTTAACACAAACATCAGGGATGTTAGGGGAAATATGGTGGAGTTTGGCAGGAGTTATATAAACCCTCATTAACCACTTATACTGAATTAATTTTAATCTTGTGTTAATTGAATTCTTTTGCGCTTTTAAACACGCCTTTCCCCAATCTTCTTCACTGATATCTGCTTGTGTGTCTGTTCTCCAAGCATTTAATTTATCTGATGCTGATTCTGTTGAGTATTCCGCTAAAAGGTTATAGAATCTAGATATGTGTTTTTTACCATTCAAATTATTAATCAC